TTTTAAGGCGGTACGAAGTTTGCCGGGTCAGCTAGTTATAAATATATTTCTACGTTTAGACTAAATTTAAACTTATATTAATATAATAAATGGAAATAACTGAAAACTAAAATATTTACTTCTACGTCGATTATTACCTCAGCAGGCTGCCCACAGTCGTGAGACTGCATAAGTCTGTATACCTACCTATAAAATGGCCAGCAAGTACCACTCGCATTGGCAGAGAACATCGCCAGCAATCAGTACTCGCATTGGTAGAGGACATCGCCAGCAACCATCAATTGCATTGGCAGAGGACATCGCCAGCGATCAGCAATTGCATTGGCAGAGGACATCGCCAGCAACCAGCACTTGCATTGGCAGAGGACATCGCCAGCAACCAGCACTTGCATTGGCAGAGGACATCGCCAGCAATCAGCACTTGCATTGGCAGAGAACATCGCCAGCAACCAGCACTCGCATTGGTAGAGAACGTAGAACTGAAATGACAAATAGGTTCTTACCATGTGCGTCGAAACTTCCCTCATCAGGCTGCCCACAGTCGTAAGACTGCATAATTCTGTGCACCTATAAAATCGCCAGCAAGTAACACTCGCATTGGCAGAGACCGTAGAACTAAAATGACAAGTAGGTCCTTACCATGCGCGTCGATACTTCCCTCATCAGGCTGCCCACAGTCGTAAGACTGCATAATTCTGTGCACCTATAAAATCGCCAGCAAGTAACACTCGCATTGGCAGAGAACGTAGAACTGAAATGACAAGTACTTCTATATCATAGAAATATGTAGTTGACGGAGGAAATTCAAAGCCTAGCAAAACCAGCCACACATATATAATTCAAATTATATTAGTACAATTTGCTGACTTCACTACACTTGCCTGCTAAGGTCTGTGTGGAGAAAGGAAAGGCTCCATTTATATGCTATCTTTCTTCCATCATTCTCACTCTCCCGCCCACTTCCACCTGAAAAGCTGTAATAATATACCAGTTTTACATAAAGTAAAACTAGAGGGAAAACATACAGCATTGCTTTAAAAGGGCAGTAGTTTTTCAGCTCTATCTGTGGTCGACGTTAGTAAACATATGGTTTCACAAATAACTAAATGGCGTTACGATTGCACCAGCAAGACGCGCCGGAGCGTTAGACTTCTAATGTCATAATCTTCACCAGGAAGAAGGTAAGTTCTTCGGAAGAAAGAACAACTCCTACTCCTCTTCGTTCAGGCAGTGAGACTGTGGAATTCGCTCCCGCCTAACATTCGGGACGCTGAGTCTATCGCTATCTAGAGGTATAAAAGACGAGTGAGAGAACACTACCTTTCCTCCTGATATGTAAATTTCTTCATTTAGATGAATAGTTTATATTTTGTATGTATTTATTTATATATTGTATGTATTTGTTTGGTTTTTTATCTGTTTAGACCATTCGGTCCAAAGTTGTCGATTTCAGATCTTGAAGCCAGAACGTCTGGGGCGATTCTGGTGCTGCAATCAGGTAAATCCCCGTAGCCATGTTGAGATGGGCTAGGACGTATGGTAGTAAGGTTGGAGGGGGATCACCCAAGCCCGTCGATGTTCGCGACGAAAACTTCCGCAGTTGCTCATGGTAGGAGATGCCATTCCGCTGGATGTTTTCTTGGAGATAGTCTGTCTCTGTCTGCTATTATGTTATACCTCCCTGGTACGTACTGTGCGGATAGGGTTATCTTGAACTTGTCGATTAGGTGTAAGAGCTCGAAGGTTAGGTTTAGTAAAGCTATCGATCTGGTCCTCCCTTCCTTCCGAATATAAGCAATCAAGCTCATGTTGTCCGAAGGACAAGTACGTGCAAAGATTCCCACAATTTTGTATTTTCTTTAATTGCAGCCAGAAAGAACTACGTACAGCTCTTCCTTGTTGCTGTGCCATTTTGTTTGTTGGGGCAACCATGCTCCGTACAATAACCTTCTGTCTATGTGGGCTCCCCATCTCAAATCCATCCCGAAGCGTCTGTCGCCAGGAAATGGATAGTTAGCTCCTTGTGTATAGGTATACTGTGACGTGTAGCTCCGCGCCACCACGTCATATTCTGGTATACCATTCGAGGAATGGGCTGTTTCTGGCGCGGTCGTTTCTTGTCGAAATGTCGTAGAAAAATCTGCAGTTTTCGACATTGTCGACCCCGTGTTTATTACGAAATTCACAAAATACATCTGACATATTAGGTACTGGAAAAGAGTACCTCTCTCGAAGGTTTATATCAGTGATTCCCAAAGTGGTTCTAGTGGACCACCAGCGGTCAACGGGAGACTTTCTGGGGGTCTACGTAGGCGTAAATAAACAATGGGGGTCCACCTGCTTTTGGTAGTAAAGACCAAAAATGTGAGCATATTTTTTATAAGGGCCTACCTACATTGTTATAAGTACGTTGGTTGTCGAAAGGTGCATGCTTAACGAGATTTTACTCTGTTTTCGGTTCCGTATTAGAATTCCTAGAAAGCAGAGATCCAGATTTAAAAGAAAACTTGACAAAGATAATTCAAACCAAAAATTGCGTATTTGACTTTTTTCTTTTTTCTCTTTTTTCGACTCCCCATACAAAATGGCCAAGTTACGTGACCGACTTCGTATGAAAGTTGAAACTTTCTATGCGAATTTTGAAAAGCCATACAACAAATGTTGTTCAAAATGGTTGGTAGAACATGCGGTTGAAGAGATGTAAATGTTCACAAATACACGCTGTATAGGGACTGAACTCTTAAGCGACACAATTTTTATTTTTTGGCGACTTTAAACTGTCAAACACCAAGCGGTCACCGGTGACCGCAACCTATTGTTCTATAATTGTGTCTACAAAACCGGTACTCGACGAGTTAAGGATATGATAGATATGTTGCAGCAAATGTGTCAATGTCCACCGAAACCAGTAAAATTTTGAAAATGGTCCATGAGAAAAATAAGTTTGGGAACCACTGGTTTATATGGTCTCTGTTTAACAATCGACTCAGCACATTGTTTAAGTTTCGAATCCTTTTTATTGGCAGTGACATGATATTCGTGGTGGCTGCCGCCGTATGCCTAGATATTCCAGACCCAGTGTTGGTGTCAAAATTGAGTTTTGGTGATTGATCAGCCAACCCAGTTGTTCCAAATGCCTCACGGCTTCCGCAGCCTGATGACATAACTTGGATTGGTCCTGATGGACCAAAAGGAAGTCGTCTAGATAGACTAGAACCCAATATCCCTTTGCGCGCAAGGTCTCCGCGACCCAGCATGTTACAGTAGAAAAATGGTGAGGCACTGAGGCCAGACCAAACCGTAGGCACGACCCGCACGACATTTAATACGAATGCTCTTTGTAACTGATTCTTAAAAATGGACATTGAGATTTTGTAACTGGTAGGTGGAAATACACATGAGAGATGTCTATTTTCGTCATCCAATCCCCAGGTTGAAGAAAATATGGTAAACTGTTTTGTCTTCATAAATTCGTTCAGTTCTCAAAGATCGAATATAGGGCGCACCGTTCCGTCGCTTTTCTTCCGAAGAAAAAGCTTGGAAACGAAACTTGGTTTATTTTTGGCAACTGGTATTGGTACAACTGATTTACAAGTTTTATAATCAATGACATTTCCGATGATGGTTTGGTTGCATATTGCGTTAAGATTTTTTCGTAGGCATTAACAGAGGAAAAGGTTTCTTGTAAAAGGGTATTCGAAACCTCGAGATTACAGAAATTATGAAATCGTTGGCACTGAATGCTTGCCAATGTACAGCATGATAATTTTTTGCCATCTTTGTTTCGAAAGGAAGAATGTGTAGATTAGCTGCAACTTTTTCCTTTGTATGGGTTTGTTTGCTTTTTGAGGGTATCACGAACATTTTTGTTCTGTGGGTGTGATTTGTATTTTGATGTAGAGAGGGTTGCTTCTTTATTACCCGCTAGCTGTTGCCCGCGACTTCGTCCGCGTAAAATAATGACATCTAGCAGAATTCATCAGAATCGATTCAGTGCCTAAGTGAGATTTATTGTGATATAAATTTATCGTAGTTTCAGATAATAAATAATCCCGCAGGGATTTTACCAGTAGAGCACGCGTTGCCGTAAGATGTTAGAGAATGCCATTCGGCATTAAGTCCGCCATTGTATAAATTTTTACAAAAGTGTTAAATAAATAAATAAATAAAAATTGTTGTACCGAATCTCTCTAAAATAAGTTCAGTAGTTAAGAGATAGAGAGTTCCCGTTCCCGTGGGACTTCTGTGATAATAAAAACTATCATACATACATCGTATTTTAGGTCTCAACTTATTATTTTACCGAATGTGAGTCAAAAGAATTCAATGATTTATACAAACTATCATCACCTATTTTATCCCCTTAGGGGTTAAATTTATTAAAATCACTTCTTAGAAGATGTCCACGTTATAACCGTGGAAACCTATAATTGGCTTTGTATTAACATATCCTGAAATTTTATTCTTTGTAATATGGCTGTTGGTTACCCGAATTAAAATAAATAACATCTACCTGCGTGCCGAATTTCAAGCCAATCGGTGTAAAACTGACAAAGTTTCATACAAACATTCATCCCCTATTTTACCCCCTGGGGGGTGGAAATGATCAAAATTCTTTCTTAGGTGATGCTTCCGTCATAACATCTACCTGCATGCCGAATTTCAACCCGATGGGTGTAAAACTGAAGTTTCATACAAACTTTCATCCCCTATTTTACCCCCTGGGGGGTGAAAATGATTAATTTTTTTTTTCAATGCATTCAGCCCTCTTGACGCTCCTCACCTACCGCCTGACGCAGGTCCTCACCGGACATGGAAGTTTCGGGAGGTACCTGTGTCTGATGGGGCGGGAGGAAACGTCCGGGTGTTATCACTGCGAGGACCGCCCTGAGGACACGGTGGAACACACAGTGGGAGAATGCCCTTCGTGGGCTGAGCACCGCCGTGTCCTCAGGGAAGTGATCGGCGATGGCGACCTCTCGCGTCCGGGCCTAGTGCGGGCCATGATGCGGAGCGAGGGGGACTGGGATGCCGTCTCCTCCTTTTGCGAAGCAGTCATGCTAGCTAAGGAGGAGGCGGGACGCGTGAGGCAGCGAAGCGCTGCCTCCTCGCAACCCAGCCATCGCGAAGGACACACCGGGCGTCGGGGATCGCGGGACGATCTCCGGCCACCGTAAGCGCGGGCCTGCGGACGGCGAGCATGGGTGGCTCCCCGTCCGACCAGAAACAGACCCGAGCGTACGGCGCGTCGCGTTCCGCGCGCGCCTCAAAGAGCCATCAGACCACCACAGATGGGGCCCAATAGGGCCGATGCCGATTCGGAGTCGCGGAGAACCTAACGGGTAACCGGGGCTCCGGCTCGACGTGCAGGAGAAGGAACGGGGTGGTTTTTAGTCAGTAAGAGTCTGACACTCCCTCCCGCCTCACCCAGGCGGGGGCAGTCATTCGATGATTTTCCCCCCTTAAAAAAAAAAAAAAAAAAAAAGCCCTCTTGACGCAAATTATTTGCAACGTCTGCTCAAATAATTTGTAGGACTGAAATGTCATCTCGAACGCACTCCGTAATTTTATTAAAAAGATTATCGGGTTTTAACTCCATAGGATTGCTGTTTAACAGTTCTCTTTGTTGCAATAAGGCGTTGGTGGCGGCAGACAAAATTTCTTCTGTTGAGGCTAAAAAATCTTTCCCTTTACTCACAGAACACATTACATTGTTATTTTTTAATAACAGAACCCCGGAAATCCGTGTCAACCTGCCAACACTTTTTTGCAGGTTTACTAATTGACGTAATAATTTGTCAATAGCGGGTTTGAGCACTTTTCAAACACAGTCTTACAAAGGCCTAGGTCTAAAGATTTTCATTTTTGTGCACCGTTAACGCTCCGGCGCGTATTGCTGGCGCAACTGTAACGCCATCTAGTTACTTCTAGGTGAAAACATAGAAGCAGCAGTAACTGTTTCTTCAAAGCAATGCTGTATGTTTTCCGGAGGCACATCAATATATTATTGAAGGAATGCATTAGTAGGCAGCCATTTTTGTATCATGTTTCAAGTTTAATTTGTTATTTCATCATCATGTCAACAGCCGAGAGTCGTCCACTGCTGGACAAAAGCCTCCCCTTTAGTCCTACACTTCGCTACTACTCTACTACTACTACTCACCACCTGTATCCACTGGCTCCCCGCAACGCTAGAGATGTCGTCGTCGATGTCCACCTAGCGGGAGGTCTGCCCACGCTTCGACTTCCGGTACGTGGTCTCCACTCAAGGATTCCCTGGCCCATCTGCCGGTACGCCTAAAATTACATTACAAATTAAATTTTCAACACAAAAGGAATAAAAGATATTTTGAAAGTTTCTGCAATTACTTACCTACATTTTTCTAATTAGTGTCCAAATACAAGTCAAAGAGATCCATTCTGCGTCATCTTCGTTCTTATCTTTTCTTCTGTTTCTGGAATTTATTCCTGGGCTATTTTCTCCATTTCTGTTACGTTACGCCGAACGCGTTATTTGTCTAGGGTTTCGGCATCAATCTTCTTTCTTCTTCTCCGCCTTATGTTATGCCATCATTCTCCTTTCTTCGTCTCCGCTTTAGGATACGCCATCATTCTTCTTTGTTATTTTCCGCCTTAGATTACGCCATCATTCTTCTTTCTTATTCTCCGTCTTAGGTTACGCCATCATTCTTCTTTCTTCTTCTCCGCCTTATGTCACGCCATCATTCTTCTTTCTTCTCCGCCTTAGGTTACGCCATCATTCTTCTTTCTTATTCTCCGTCTTATGTTACGCCATCATTCTTCTTTCTTATTCTCCGGCTTATGTTACGCCATCATTCTTCTTTCTTCTTCTCCGCCTTATGTTACGCCATCATTCTTCTTTCTTCTCCGCCTTAGGTTACGCCATCATTCTTCTTTCTTATTCTCCGTCTTAGGTTACGCCATCATTCTTCTTTCTTCGTCTCCGCCTTATGTTATGCCATCATTCTTCTTTGTTATTCTCCGTCTTAGGTTACGCCATCATTCTCATTTTTACTTCTCCGTCTTAGGTTACGCCATACATTCTTCTTTCTACTTCTCCGTCTTATGTTACGCCATCATTCTCCTTTGTTATTCTCCGCCTTAGGTTTAGTCATCATTCCTCTTTCCTTTTCTTCGTCTTATATTCCGCCATCATTATTTTTTGTACTTCTCCGTCTTAGGTTACGCCGTACATTCTTATTTCTACTTCTCCGTCTTAGGTTACGCCATCATACTTCTTTCGACTTCTCCGTCTTATGTTATGCCATCATTCTCCTTTGTTATTCTCCGCCTTAGGTTACGCCATCATTCTTCTTTGTTATTCTTCGGCTTAGGTTACGCCATCATTCTTCTTTCTACTTCTCCGTCTTAGGTTACGCCATACATTCTTCTTTCTACTTCTCCGTCTTATGTTATGCCATCATTCTCCTTTGTTATTC